CATCACTTCTGTGTCTTTTCTTACTGAATCATTCTCATAAATATACAAAGACACAGTCATTTCTCCCATCTTAAAACAAATAAACAAAATTCTTGTTCTGAACCCATTCCCCCATCCTGCTAGCTCCCTATTTCTCAATTCCCCTTTATAGCGAAAATCCTTTGTCTGGGTCAATTACCATGCACATGTCCAGTTATTCAGAGCCACGGCTGGCAGTCAGTCTCAACTCCTCTCCCTCCACCCCAAATGCAAATCAGCACATCCTGTCAGCTCCACACTAAAAGATATAGCCAGGATTTCACTACTTTTTTATTATTTAAAGATGTATTTTAATTTATTTGAAAGGCAGACAGAGAGGGAGAGGCAGGAAGCGAGAGAGAGAGAGAGAGAGAGAGAGAGAGGATCCTCCACCTACTGTTTCACTCCCCAGATGGCCACAACGTCTAGGGCTGGGCCAGGGCTGCAGTCTGGAGCTGAGAGCTCCCTCTGGGCCTTCCATGCGGGTGGCAGGGTCCCAAGTACTTAGGTCATCTTCTGTATTTGCAGAGAACTGGATAAGAAATGGAGCATCCAGGACTAGAACTGGTGCTCTCATATGGGATGCTGGAGTCGCAGGCAGCTACTTTTTATTTCTAATCGATACATAATATTTACACACATTTATGGGCTATAGTGTGATAATTCAAGGTACTCATTTGCCATCTTCTCAAACATTTATATTTCTATGTGTTGGAAATGTTCTGATTCTTCTTTTCTAGTTTTTTATTATAAGTTGTTGCACAATATTTTCAATGTATAACAGGAAATATAGTTTATGGGGATTTTATTTGGTGGCCTTCAGACAAAGAGAGAGAGAGAGCGAGAGGAAAGAAAACTATATTTCACTATTTATAGAAACTTCTGTTGCTATTCTGTGGTCTAGTACTCATTCCACTTTACCTGTATTGTTGCCTCTTAACTTTCTTCCTCTGTTTTTGCTTCCACCCTTGTACTGCATTTAATCTTTATTCACTCTATAATTTGGTGGTCATTTACTCTGATTATATGCAAAATAATGATGTCATTTCTCTCCTCAGAAAATCCAATGCCAGTATGAACCCATCCCACTGACTGCCTCCTCTGTTGCTCTGCCTCTTGTCACCCCCTGGGACACCCTGGCATTTTGGCTTCACTCGAATGAGCCAGTGATGATCCTGCCTCGTAGTCTTTTCATTTGTCTTTCTCTGCTCCTAATGCTCATCTCCTAAATATCCAGGTGACAGTCAGGACTGGGCCAGGCCAAAGCCAGGAGCCAGGAACTCCATCCGGGTCTCCTATGTGAGTGTGATGGACCCCAGTACTTGAACTGTCTTCTGCTGCCTTCCCAGGTGCATCAGCAGGAGATGGATCAGAAGCAGAGCAGCCAGCACCTGAACTGGTGCTCTTACATGGAATGCCGGGGTCACAGGAGTGGCCCAACCCCTTGTGCCACAATGCCCACTCCCAAATGTCACATTTTAATGACAAGTTTTATATCTACCTTGTGTAAATGTCAGCCATTTCTGTGATTATCACCCTGTCTTACTTTATGTTTTCCCATTGCATTTCTACCAAATATAAAATTCATGATGATGGAAACAGTGTAGAACTGTGGGAAGCAAAGGAAAATGAGAACACAGATTTAGGCATCTAGAAATAATCAGATTTTTATGCCTTTTTAAATTATCTTGATCATATCCTGAAGGCAAGGAGGAATCATAAAAGGATTTCAACTAAAAAAAATAGCCTAGTGGTCAGCATTGTGGTGCAGCGGGTTATGCCACCTGTGCATCCCATATAAACCTGCATCCCCTAAGTTACTAGCATCCCTGTGAGCACTGTTTTGAATCCTGGCTGCCCTGCTTCTGATCCAGCTCCCTGGGAATGCACCTGAGAAAGTGGTGAGAAGCTGGCCCAAGTACTTGGTCTCCTGCCACCCACATGAGAGACCTGGATGTTCCAGGCTCCTGGCTTCAGCCTGGCCCAGCCTCAGCTGTGGTGGCCATTTATGGAATGAACCAGCAGATGGAAGATCATTCTGTCTCTATCCTCCTTCTGCTTCTGCTGCTCTCTTTTCAAATAAATAAAATAAATTTTTAAAAAGGAAGAAAAAGCCTAAGTTGTGTATCAGAACAAGAATATGAGAAGCAATGAGTAAGAGACTAGAAATGGTATGGTGCTGGTAGAATGGATCAATACTGAATGTAGGCAGCACAGTTGGACAGGAAATGAGCGACATTTAAGAGATTCTTGCATGTAAAAGAGCTATATGCAGTACAGACAGGAGTGAACATGTAGAATGACATGGGAATAACCTAAGAATGAAAAAAAAATAAAATCATGCAGAATAAATTTCATGTATTACTGTAATTAACAATGGTGCAGTAACCTGCTAACCTTTAAAACAATGAAAACCCCAGGTGGAGACAATTTTTCTGAAAGTTTCTTATATTTAAAACAATATGAGAAGAGTTCTGCTAAAACAATACAAAAGCAGTTACAAGATAAACTGGAAAGTCTGGAGTTTAAACATTTGGATAGTACTAAAAAAAGAAGCCAGTGAATCTCATGTTTGCTTCCAAACCACAGCTATAAGTGTGCAAAGAAAACTAAGAACCTAACTTGGAATACTCAATGGTCATGCAAAATGTTGACACAGTATAATAGATTGGGAACTCTAGAGAACATGGCAAAAATTTCTAGTGGAAAACTTTCGCAGTCAGCAAGTTGTATGAGGTGAGGCATTTCTGAAAGAATGGAGATACAAGAACATTGATAAATGCTGAAAAAAGAACTCTTGGCAGAGGCATGTTTAAGATAGCCTTAACAACATGAGACAGTGTTATGGCACAACCGGTTGAGTTACTCACTGCCTGCGATGCCAGCATCCTGTATCATAGTGCTAGTGTGCAAGCCCCAACTACTCTGCTTCCCATACAGCTCCCTGTTAATGCACCAGGGAAAGCAGCAGAAGATGACCAAAGTGCTTGGTCCCCTGTCACCCACATGGGGGGAGCTAGATGGAGTCCCAAGATCCAAGCTGCTTTCCTAGCCTACTCCCGGATTTTGCAGCCATTTGGAGAGTGAACCAGTGGATGGAAGACTTCTCTCACTCTCTCTGTCTCCTTTTCTCTCTCACTCTGCCCATCAAATAAACAAATAAATTATGAAAAAAAAAAACACAATCTTTAGTCTTACAACTGTAATTCTCTATCACAAAATCATATCAATAATAAATCTGATGTTTTTGCCTACTAAGAAATAGACCCTTGGCGCTTAATCCTCAATCTCCTGAATTAGAGTAAATCGACCCTTTGTTATTCTTGAGAGCCACAGCTCAGAGTGGTTAAATAATTTAAGATCACCAACCTAATGATGACAGCTTGGGAACTGAGCCCACCGAGTTATATCATCCTTCCCCAAAATGTGCCAATGAAGATTTCTGAATCAATTCAGAAAATGTACACTAATAAAGATCTGCCATGCAGTCTTCTCTTACAGGGTTTGTTTGGTGGTTTTTTGTTTGTTTGTTTGTTTGTTTGTTTCTGACAGGCAGAGTGGACAGTGAGAGAGAGACAGAGAGAAAGGTCTTCCTTCGCCGTTGGTTCACCCTCCAATGGCCGCTGCGCCCGGTGCACCACGCTGATCCAATGGCAGGAACCAGGTACTTATCATGGTCTCCCATGGGGTGCAGGGCCCAAGCACTTGGGCCATCCTCCACTGCACTCCCTGGCCACAGCAGAGAGCTGGCCTGGAAGAGGGGCAACCGGGACAGAATCTGGCGCCCCGACGGGGACTAGAACCCGGTGTGCCGGCGCCGCAAGGTGGAGGATTAGCCTAGTGAGCCGCGGTGCCGGCCTCTTACAGGGTTTTAAAAATGTGTTACATGAGGACAAGTCCTTTGTGCTGCTTCCATCCCAAAAAAAGTGTCTGATTCATTAACTTTGGATTCTAGCTGGCAGAAGAGAAAAAAGATTCTCCCTTGAACTTACAGAAGGAACACAAGTCTTCTGACACATTAATTTGAGCCCAATGAGAGCATCTCAGACTTCCGATTTCCAGAAATATACAATAATAAATTTGTGTTGCATGATTAAAGTTGTGCTCACCTTTTATAATAGCAATAGCGAAGTAAAACAGGATGAAATACCCAGATTCCTCGACAATTCCTGCTCTTCAGTCTTCCGCTTTTGGCTCAAACTGGTCACTGGTATCCGAAAAGCCAGAAGCAAAATACAACCTGAGGAGCATAGATTTCTGCTATGCAGAGGAAATAGACCAGCAAGCTCTTTCCCTGTCCACTTGTTATCCCTACAACCCACTGCTCTCCTCTGATCATTATAATTTGAAGTTTCAGATTTATTGGTCCTCAGATTTCCTACCTGATTATCCTAAAGTCTCTCCCTGTTTCTTAAATTTTCATTAGGTAGTAAATCGGCACAAGCATATATCTGCTGCTAACCTCTCCCCTAAGCTCCACACCAGTATAAAAACTGCTTGTTTGAGATTATGACTTGGATCTTCCATGGTTACCTCAAAAATCATCATGTCAAGACTGTGCCTTTGACGCTCCCCTAACTCTGCTCCTGTTTTTGGCCTCTACAGAGAAAAGGTAAGAAACGTTTGAAGGTTTACGTAGCATGGCAGTCTTCCATCCTTTTTCCCAATTCTGTTCCCGTTCAGTAATCCCTCCTCAGGGAACTCAATGTGCAAGGCAGAACCCTGGCAATCATTCCTGGCTCTTGCCTGCCTCCCCACCATCCCCGTCTCCGGTTGCCCATCCACACCAAAGCCAGTGCTTTTTCTAGAATGCAAATGTGGTCAGCTCTCTAGTGGTTTCCCAGTGATCTCGGTGTAATAAAGAGCCATTTTTTTTTTTTTTTGGACAGGCAGAGTGGACAGTGAGAGAGAGAGAGAGAGAGAGAAAGGTCTTCCTTTTTGCCGTTGGTTCACCCTCCAATGGCCGCCGCGGCCAGCCCACCGCGCTGATCCAATGGCAGGAGCCAGGTACTTCTCCTGGTCTCCCATGGGGTGCAGGGCCCAAGCACTTGGGCCATCCTCCACTGCACTCCCTGGCCACAGCAGAGAGCTGGTCTGGAAGAGGGGCAACCGGGACAGAATCTGGCGCCCCGACCAGGACTAGAACCTGGTGTGCCGGCACCGCAAGGCGGAGGATTAGCCTAATTAGATGGCTAAGAGCCATCTTCTTAAAGCGGTGTTCAAGAACGTGAATGGACTCAGCCCTGCCTGAATCCCCAGCCTCATTTCAAACCCCGTGTCTCCTCTTAGACGCAGCATGCTAACCACACTGGCCTTCTTTCTCCGAAGCAGGCCAAGTCATCTTGCACAGAACATTTATATATGCCCGTCTTAGTCAGTAGGGACTGCCAAAACAAATGCCACAGGCTGGGTTGCTTGAATGACAGAAATGTATTTTATAGTTCTAGACGTAAAAAGTCCAAGAGCAAGGTGCCAGCATGATCGTTTTCTGCCGTGCAGCCAGCCACTGTTTCACTGTGTGCTCATTTCCACGACCTCTTCTTCATGTGATTCTCCTATAACACAAATGATCATGTTCCCTTCTTCATAATACATACTACAGATGAACTTTACATTTATTTATGTGATCATCTGAATAATGTTCCCACCCCCTGTACTGTGTTGTAACCTCTGGGTAGGAAGGGACAATGGCTTTTTCTGCTCATACCTGTGTATCTTCATTGTACAAAGAAGTACATGATGTACACTCAATATTCAAAAAATATATACCTAATGAAATAATGAATGGGAAAATTAGTTACTAATTAGTTACTGATTTCATTTTGCCACTTCCTTAGGTCACTTAACTTCTCTAAGCCTCACTATTCTCATCTTTAATCTAAGATCAATAATTACTCTTTGTAGTGCACCTGCAACAGTTAGTGTACTGTGGGGCAGTCAGTAAGATTTCATAAATGTAAATTATTCTCAGGGATGGTATTATTAAACTATCACTATAGATTTCAAGTACTCTTACAAATATTCAAAAATAATCAAGACTAAATAGATATATTATTTTTATTATTATGTAGATCCATATGAGAATTTTATATCATTGAAAGACAAAGGAGACTAACATATTTCTTTAGGTATGGAAAACAAGTGTCAAAAGATCTACTAAAGACCAGTATGTAATGATTCCAATACGGAGGAAAGCTACAAATAAAAAGTGGTTCTTGTTCATGCATCTGTTAATAAATCATTGGAAGACAAAGTATCATATGAAAGTACTTTGAAAAATGTTCGGGGGAAAAAGGAATTAAAAGATAAGTTTATTTTGGTGCAAAAGACATTTTGGCTGGCACCACGGCTCACTAGACTAATCCTCCGCCTTGTGGCGCCGGCACACCGGGTTCTAGTCCCCGTCGGGGCGCCAGATTCTGTCCCGGTTGCCCCTCTTCCAGGCCAGCTCTCTGCTGTGGCCCGGGAGTGCAGTGGAGGATGGCCCAAGTGCTTGGGCCCTGCACCCCATGGGAGACCAGGAGAAGTACCTGGCTCCTGCCATCGGATCAGCGTGGTGTACCCGCCGCAGCGCGCCGGCTGTGGTGGCCATTGGAGGGTGAACCAACGGCAAGGGAAGACCTTTCTCTCTGTCTCTCTGTCTCACTGTCCACTCTGCTTGTCAAAAAATAAAAAATAAAATAAAGTAAAAAGATAAGTTTATTTTGGTGCAAAAGACATTTTGAAACACATGCGTAATTTTTCATAACATAAATTTTCCACGAACTATTTGAAGACCCTTATATACAAAAATATAGAACTTAGGGCCAGCATTGTGATGTAGCCAGTAAAGCTGCCACCTGCGATACCAGCTTCCCCCATGGGCATTAGTTCTAGTCCCAGCTGCTCCACTTCTGATCCAGCTCCATGTTAATGCATCTGAGAAAGCAGCAGAGGGTGGCCCAAGTGTTTGGGCCCTTGCACCCATGTGGGAGACCTGAAAGAAGCTCATGGCTCCAGGCTTTGGTCTGGTCCAGCCCGGTCCATTGAGACCACTTGGGGAGTGAACCAGTGGATGGGAGAACAATCTCTTTCTTTCTCTCTCTCTCTCTCTCCTTCTCTCTGTACCTTTCCAATAAATTCAATAAATCTTGAAAAGAAATCTTAAACATATATATTTGTAAAAAAGAATAGAAAATGTTGAAGTAATCAGACTGTAATTCGCATGATGATGTGGCCTCTCTGAAACGCATTCTGATGCCTGTTCGCCCATGGGGAAGTGGAATTCTGAAGGGCTCCTCATGAGAGAAATGTTCCTTGCCCTTTTCCCCTGTCAGAGGGACTATTACCAGAGGATCGTGATAAAAGAGATCAAAGCCATTTGGGCCACTTGAATCTGCACTCAAGTGTGGGTTCAGGGGATAGAGCAGATATTGTAAGACAATCTATTCTGCTTTGAGGGTAAAATTATCTTTTAAAGAAAGCAGGAGGGGGAATAAATAAGTAAGTAAATCAAGCTATAAGATGCTCATCTATCCTCTTAGCAAAAAAAAAGAAGAAAATGTAGAAAATAATTATATTTTTAAAAGAAAGTACAGAGGCCTCTCTTCTGCATAATATCTCTAAGAGCTAGTCACTAAACATTTTAAAGTTAGTTATTTATCACATGCATTTTTCATGAACAGTATTCAAAGTCTGTCAAGAGTGTAACAGTGTTCAGAAATACATGAATTGGATAGAATTTCTAGAATAGAAGCAATTTTAGACAAAATTGCATTATCAATTACAGTGAGACTCCCAAGAAAGCACCTCTCTAGGGCTGTTATTTTACATATCTAGCATTCTCACTCAGTTGTCTGTAGTTACTTCCTTTCTCTTTTTTTATTATTTTTTATTCCGACAGGCAGAGTGGACAGTGAGAGAGAGAGAGAGAGAGAAAGGTCTTGCTTTTGTCGTTGGTTCACCCTCCAATGGCCGCCGCGGTCGGTGCGCTGCGGCCGGCGCACCACACTGATCGGAAGCCAGGAGCCAGGTGCTTCTCCTGGTCTCCCATGGGGTGCAGGGCCCAAGCACATGGGCCATCCTCCACTGCACTCCCTGGCCACAGCAGAGAGCTGGCCTGGAAGAGGGGCAACCAACCGGGACTAGAACCCGGTGTGCCAGCACTGCAAGGCGAAGGATTAGCCTAGTGAGCCACGGCGCCGGCCTACTTCATTTTTAAACATCTGTTTTATTTACGAGAGAGGGAGAGAGAGAGAGAGACCGAACAAGCTCCTTTTGGCTGGTTCCCTCCCCAAAAGCCCACAACATCCAGGAATGAGCTGGGCTGAATCCAGGAGCCAGGGCTACAATCCGGGTCTTCCACATAGGTGTCAGCGACCCTATTAACTGAGCCATCATTTTCTGCCTCCCAGGGTCTGGATTAGTAGGAAGCTGGAATTGGGAGTGGAGCTGGGACTGAAACTCAGCCACTCTGATGGGATATGGCCATCCTACCATCAGCTCAACCTCTAGATGTGTCTGCCCCAGGTGGGTATTTCTTTATATGTCCAGCTCCTCAAGGAGGCTCTGAACTCTTTCCAGATAAGGGCCTAGTTTTCTGTGGCATAGTGAGTAGAGCCGCTGCATGTTTTGCCAGCTCCCATGTGGGTGCTGGTTCGAGTTCCAGTTGCTCCATCTCTGATACAACTCCCCATTACTGAGTCTGGGAATGCAGGGGACTATGGCCCCAGTGTTTCTAGCTCCCGGCTTCTGCCTGGCCCAGCCCTGACCATGGTGACCATTTTGGGAGTGAACGAGTGAGGGGAAGATCTCTCTCCCTCTCTCTCTGAAACTGTGCCTTTCAAGTAAATAAAAATAAATCTTTTTTAAAGAGTCTAGTTTTCTTATTTTGATAATTTCAAGAATTAGTATCTGAAAAGCAGCAGAAGCACAGAATTTACAAATATATTGAAAAATAACATCTTTCAATAATTTTGGTCACCATAAGTTACATTTATAATTGTAAAATCTATTAAATGTAACTTACCAAGCATTGACAGAGGGTTAGCTATAGCAAGCCCCTGAATTTGTTACTATAGAGGATAAAATAAAATAACGAACAGATAAAGAAAATGACATCTTTTTTCCATTCACCTATCTCATAATCTAATAGATGACTGCAGATATGATGAGATTAGTACCATGAGAAAACTATCAGGAAATTTGTGGATTCAAAGAAGGGTTGATTTAGGTAGCAGTCTGAATAATAGATATCAAGTACTATCCTGGAATCTGAAAGTCTTGCCTTAGAAGGAAAAAGTTGATTTTGCTGGTGTGATTGAGTTAAGGATCTTGATCTGAGGGGGTTAAGTTGAATGAAGGAGTTTGGTGGGTCCTTGATCCACTCACAAGTGTCTTAAGAGAAAAGCAGAGAGACACTGCACAGATAGCAGATGAGAAGGTGATGTGGAGACAAGCAAAGCCTTGGAGCTTGGTGTAAGGCAGCTCCAACACGCCCCGGAACACAAAAGGTCTCCAGATGCTGGGGAGAAGCAAGACAAGGATTCCTGCCCCCTCGAGAAACCCCAGAGGTATATGACTGTGCACACACTGATTCTGTAAAATAATGGAAGGATATATTTTTGTGCTTTAAACCACCAAGTTTGTGGTAACCTGTTATGTTACAAGGGCCATGAGAAACTAATAGTCTTTAGATAAAATGAAAAGGAAGCACATTTGAAGTAATATGCAGATGCTCCTTCACTTACAATGAGATTGTGTATTAATCATGCCATCACAAGTTGAGGGGACTAAGTCAAAAGTGCATTTCGGCAGGTGCCGCAGCTCTCTAGGCTAATCCTCTGCCTTGCAGCGCCAGCACACGGGGTTCTAGTCCCGGTAGGGGCCCCGGATTCTGTCCCGGTTGCCCCTCTTCCAGGCCAGCTCTCTGCTGTGGCCCGGGAGTGCAGTGGAGGATGGCCCAAGTGCTTGGGCCCTGCACCCCATGGGAGACCAGGAGAAGCACCTGGCTCCTGCCATCGGATCAGTGCGGTGCGCCGGCTGCAGCGTGCCGGCCACGGCGGCCATTGGAGGGTGAACCAACGGCAAAGGAAGACCTTTCTCTCTGTCTCTCTCTCTCTCATTGTTCACTCTGCCTGTCAAAAAATAAAAAATAAAGAAAAAAATTTAAAAAAGTGCATTTCAGGTGCCAGCTCTATGGTGCAACAGGTTAAAGCCCCAGCCTGCAGCGCCACCATCACATATGGGTGCCGGATCGAGTTCTGGCTGCTCCACTTCCAATCCAGATCCCTGCTAATGCATCTGAAAAAGCAGCAGAGGATAGCCCAAGTCCTTGGGCCCCTGCACCTACATGGGAGACCTGGATTAAGTTCCTGGCTCTTGGCTTCGGATCGGCTTAGCTCTGGCCACTGTGGCCATTTGGGGATGGAAGACCTCTCTCTCTCTCTTTCTCTTTCTCTCTACTTCTCTCTGTAACTCTTTCAATAAATAAAACAAATCTTTAAGAAAAAGAAGTGCATTTCATATCCCTGAGCCGCCAAACAGTGCTGTTTAGCAACACAGAAGGGTGTAGAGGTTGGCTGTTTCCCCTCGGAATCATTGGACTTACTGGGAGCCAAACTTAACTGCCTCTGGCCCAGCATTGGCAGGGAAGATTGTATCCCCTGTAGCTAACTCTAGAAAAGATCAAAACTCAAATTATGGTTGTTACTGAATGCATGCCACTTTTCTACCATCATAAAACCAATCTTGAGTTGGAAAAATGTAAGTTGTGAACCTTCATGTGACTG